CTTTATCAGTTTGTTGACACATCTCAATTGATATTCTATCAAACCCTGGAGACCTGTTTTGGGATAAAGGTTTCAATGCAGTTTGGACTTCTTCCTTCAGTAACATTGGTTCTTTTTCATGTGCTACCTCCTGAAATGGTGGAATATGGAATAGTTGTTTTGGGTACAGTGACTATGTGTAGTCTGTCTTCTTCTGAGTCTTCCTGCATCATTCAATATTTTGACCATAGAATCTTCCAATAGTGCAACTCAAGGCTTGACTTTTTTTTCTTGAGTTCTTTCAATTAAGATATGCTAAGCCTGTTCTTCCATTTTGTTTTTCTAATTCTAGGTCTCTGCATATTTCATTATAACATTTGGCTTTGTCTTCTTGAGCTGCCCTTTGAAAGTTTCTGTTCCATTCTTTGACTTCCTCGTTTCTTCCATGTGCCTTCTCTACTCTACAATTAAGAACAAGTTTCAGAGTCTCCTCCAACATCCACTTTGATCTTGACCTGCTTTTCTGTCTTTTTAATGACCTTTTCTTGTCTTTATGAATGATATTCTTTTTTTGCGTGCATCTTTTAAAAAAATCACTTTATTGGGGTCATACAACTCATCACAATCCACACATACATCAATTGTGTAAAGCACACTTACACATTCGTTGCCCTCGTCATTCTCAAAACTCTCTTTCCACTTGGGTTCCTGGAATCAGCTCCTCATTTTCCCTTTTCCCCTCCCCACCCCTCCACGCTCCCCCTCCTATGAATGATATTCTTGATGTCCTCCCACAGCTCATCCGATTTTCTGTCACAGTGTTCAATGTACAAATCTGTTCTACAGATGTTCTCAAAATTCAGGTAGGATAGATTCAAGGTTGTATTTTGACTCCTGTGGAGTTGTTTGCATTTTCTTTAGCTTCAACCTGAACTTACATTTGAGCTATTGATGGTCTGTTCTACAGTCATCTCTTGGTCTGGCTTTAGCTGCTGGTATTGAACTTCTCCATCGTATCTTCCTATAGATGTATTTAGTTTGATTTCTGTGCACTCCATCTGGAAATGTCCATGGACATAATCACTGTATTGTTGAAAAGATATTTGCTAAGACCAAGTTGTTGGTCATATGTTACACTGTCCAATGTCTCCCTTCCCCCACTTTTCTGTTGTCTGTCCCCCAGGGAGGAGGTTATATGTAGATCCTTATAATCAGTTCCCCCTATGGATAAATATAATCTTAACACAGACAGTATTGTATTCCAATATAGATCTTGAAATGTCCTTTTTTTAAAATCATTTTATTGGGGACTCATATAGCTCTTATCACAATCCATACATACATCCATTGTGTCAGTCACATTTGTACATTTGTTGACATCATCATTTTCAAAACATTTTCTTTCTACTTGAGCCCTTAGTATCAGCTCCTCACTTTGTCCTCCCTCCCCTCTGTCCTTCACCCTTGATAATTAATAAATTGTTATTATTTTTTCATGTCTTATACTGACCAAAGTCTCCCTTCACTCACTGTTCTATTGTCCATCCCCGAGGGAGGGGGGTTATATGTCAATCATTGTGTTTTGTTCCCCCTTTTTCCTCCCACCATCCCGCTACCCTCCTGGCATCGCCACTCCCATTATTGGTCCTGAGGCGTGTATCTGTCCTGGATTCCCTGTTTCCAGCTCTTACCTGAACCCGTGTATATGCTCTGGTCTAGTCAGATTTGTAAGGTAGAATTGGGGTCATGATAGTGGGTGGGGGGTGGGAGAGCGGGGAGGAAGCATTAAAGAACTAGAGGAAAGTTGTATATTTCATTGGTGCCGTACTGCACCATGACTAGCTTGTCTCCTCCCCACGACCCTTCTGTAAGGGGGGGTGTCCAGTTGTCTATGGATGGGCTTTGGGGCTCCACTCCGCACTCCCCCTCATTCAAAATGATATGATTTTTTGTTCTGGGTCTTTGATGCCTGATACCTGATCCTATTTATACCTCAGGATCACACAGGCTGGTGTGCTTCTTCCAGGTGGGATTTGTTGCTTCTCAGCTAGATGGCTGCATGTTTGTCTTCAAGCCTTTAAAACCCCAGATGCTATGTCTTTTGATAGCCTGGCACCATCAGCTTTCTTCACCACATTTGCTTATGCACCCATTTTGTCTTTTCTATATAATTTTTTAATGCTGATGTCATATTGTTTGTGGTGTTTCCTATTAGTTTGACCATTGTTGTCATTTCAGTATTTATTAAATATTTTTAATTTTACAAGTTTGTTTTGGTGAGGCTTATCTATTTTCCTTGCATTTACTCTGTAATTTCTTATCAAGTTAAAACCAAAATGTTCTATTTTGAAATTTATTTGGCTTCCTCTTCATTTGAAAGTTCTTTAACTACACTATTCCTTCTATTTACATTGTGATTGTCTTTATTAAAAATTGATACTTCTGGTTCTCGATTTTCAGTCTTATAGACTTGTTTTACTTTGGGCATTTCTATATCTGAGTTGAGTTCTGGGTGTTGTTGTCATGTATGTTTACTTCTAGTTGTTTACTGTTATTGGTTCTCTGTCCAAATAACTGCTTTTGTATTTCTCTTAAAGTTGGACTGATTTCCACAAAAATGTTTTTCATTAAAATTTTTCATTTAGAGTATTTCCAGTTTTACTTGCAAGTAATTGACATCTCGTATAATTAAAAAGTTCAATCATTCAATCATATCACGGAGAATTGTACAATCAATTTTAGAGTATTACCCCTCCCTCATAGTCCAAACACTTTTCAGATTGTTTGAAAAACTCTTTACATTTCTGTTTATCTGGACATAATTACGCTGGGTATGTGTTTCTGTGATTATTACTTGACTTTTTTTTCCCTTTCAGAGTGTTATATATACCACCCTATTGTCTTCCTCCTGCATGGTTTCTGCTAAGCCCAGTGCTGCTGGTTCCTCTTCGTAGGTTGCTTTTTTATTTTCCCAAGCTGCTCTCAGGAGTTTTATTATGACATATTGATGACATTCATTTGTAGTCTATTCTGTGGTTCATTTAGCTTCTCATCTTTCAGGAAATGAGGGAAGTTTTACTATAAAATTCTGACTGTTTTCTTTTTGCTTTGTGTTGTCTCTTCCTGTTCTGGAATTCTGATCACACGTAAGTTATTCCTAACTTTTGATTTGTGGTTTGTTTGTTTTTTAACTATTATTCCTCTAGTACATTAGTCTTGAGAGATTTGTCTTTACACTTACAACTTGACCCTCCATTCATTTAATTGTATTTCTTTGGTTTTTTAATGTATTATCTACTTCTGAAATCTGAGTATTTATCTTTATTTTTTTCATATTTGCTATTTTTTGTATTTGCTCTTTTCTGTGTTTCCTAATTTTCCATTTACATTGTCAATATACACATATGTGGTAGTTACATAATTTCATGTCAACTTGAAGTGTAGGGGTGGAGTCTAGCCTCTCAATCAAGTCACAGCCTGATTGTGCCTCCTTGTGGGTATGACCTCCTCATAAGGAGGGTCCTGGAACACCCCCCCCCACACACACACCTTCTTTCTCTACCGTCACCTTCCTGCTATCTCAGAGAACTGCCAGAGGCACCACCATTGGATCCACAACACTGTTCATGCACAGTCCGGGGATGTTCCTGCATTCTGCATCATTGCATGTGGCTTCGTGAGTCTGAAGAGAGACTTGTGGACTAGTATTGGATGTATGGACTTGAGTTGGCCTGGGCTAGAATGTTCTATTGATGCATGATTACTTCTTGACATAAAGGTCTGTCTTACACATATATGAGTGGCACTAGATTTGTTTTTCTAATCAACCCGGCCTTACACAATATATTTTTGTAGTGTCTACCAGAATTGGTCTAAGTTTTCTTTTCTCTCTGATTTTCTTATTTTCATCTGCAGCCATCTCAATCTTTCTCTCAATCCTTTGAAGGAGTCGAAATATAATTCATTTGAATTTCTTAACAGGGAGTTCCAATGCCATTTTTTTTTTTTAACCTGAGAAAGGTGTTCTGGCTCTGTCTGTCTTATTTGTGTGAACTGAAATTGTGTTCTCTGAGATATGGTGAGACTGATTGTATGATGGTGAGACCCTACCCCCTCATCAGCTGCCTTTTAGTCCGTGTGTTAGAGCATGCGAGGGGGTGGGGCCACAAGCTGAAGGAGCCAATGGACTCTGAAGTTCATGTCCTTTCCAACCTCTCTTATCATGAAACTTGTGATGTGAGACTCCAGAGGTTGAGAGGCATCTAGGACCGCCTTTCTATTCATTTGGCTGAATCACCTCTTTATTCCCATCCATCGAGAAGTTGGAGGGGATCATCTCTCCCAGGAATCTGCCCAAACAACCCCAAACCCTGCCTTCTAAGCATTTATGAAACCTATCTCTTAAATCTCCAGTCATCCCAACAACCTTCACCCACAGTGCCCAGCCACAGCAAATAGCTGGTTCGGTGCATTCCCTATTGGGCAGAACTACAGCACCATTATGGGACCGCCCCTCCCATGAGTTTCACAAGGCTTACTCTTTTATGACCCACTGAGAAAATTCAGTTGATCTTGCCCTGTGGTGAAACTAGTGATGGCTCTTACCAAGCAGATGGAGACATTCGTTGGGTTCAGCACTACAATTTGATCTTTTCCCAAACAAATTGGGCATGGATTCATGAAACCATTAGAGGACCACGGATGGCAGCCTCTACATCAAACTCGTGTTTAGAGTCATGACAGGATTGACATGTCCCATTGGGGAGCACATTTACATTCTTTTCATGTAGCCACCAGTTTCTGAGCAATTCTTCTCTGGCTTGGCTGAAGACCAGTCCCTGGAGAAATCAAAGCTTATGATCTAGAACGCTAATTTGCCAAGCTATGGAATGGCCAGGACATCTGGGTTGGCTGTTTGTCTCTGCAACAATAGAACCCTTGTGAAAAAATAAACAGCTGAGACACTTATTTTTTTTAAAAAAAGGCATACACTCAGTGATTGAGGAGGCCCCAGGGGACGGATTTATTCAGCAACAATGGAAAAGAACAGAAGCAGCAGGTTAGGTAGTCATCACTGCCAGTGTGTATGAGTTTTGTATGTGTACATATTGAGAGAGGGTAGGGGGATGATCACAGTGATCACTGTGATCACAGCGAGATTGGATCTTAGGAGGGGGCAGCAAAGCCTGGTTCCATGAGATTCCTCCCCATCCCCCCACCTCCAAAAAAAAATGCCTCCCACTCTGGGAATAATGAGGGATAGCAACATAGTTGAAATAAAGAGTTGGCTGTCAGAAAAGCGTTGAAGTACATGTGAGGTCAGGTGAAATGAATGAAGTCGCTGCCGCTGGTCGGGCTATCACCTGGCAGGTCCAATCAGGAATTTCTTTTCTTCAGGATTTCTTGCATCTGGTAACTGTTACTGAACCTTTTACGACTCCTTGTGACTAGCGTTTTGGATATTCTAATAGGCACATAGAAGGTGCGGGGATGGGAAAAAATATAATGGATGAAGCAGTATAGACAGTAGATAGGGATGGGTAGGAACACAACTATACTTAAGATGATTAGGAAGGTGTATAGCCATCTGGGGTACTCTTGAGAGGCTTCTTTTGACTGTGGAGAGAGAAGAGAGAGGCTTAAAACACAGGATTTCCCAGGAAAAGAAGGTCCTTTTACTGAATGCCCAGGAGAACAGGAAGGAGAGGAGGTCAGGGTAATCCGACTAGAGGATTCATGAGTCTTGATCAGAGAATGAGATGACTGGGTCCTTAGGCTATCTGTTCAAAGAACGGACCGGTACCTCTCCCTAGGGGATTCTAGGCCCTGGGAAGGGAGACTTACAGTGGTTGAGTTCCAGGACAGGTAAACAAAATCCTGGTAACTGAAGAAAATCACAGTGGCCACAAATATTGCTATCAGCACCAACGGGCATAAAAAGCACAACAGGCCACAATAGAGGGGAGCGACTGGGTGGCCAAGCAGGATCTTCATCTCTGTCTGGAACCTGGAATGAAAAGCCACAAGATGGGGAGAAGCCAGTTAAGCATTATCCAACCTTAGAGAGGAGTCTGGCCTTAGCCTCTTTTCAAACATGCGATTTCACCTCCAAGCACCTGCCCCACCTCAGGCCTCAACCTCTCTCCCCTTAGCCCTAGTCAGTCTGGTCTCCAGTCTACCCAAGCAGGTTTTTCACACATCCTTTCCTGCTCACGAACCTTCTATAGATCTCCACTTATTCTTATACTCATTATGCTCTCGGCCAAGTACCTTCATTCATGATGGAAACGTGAGATGGTGTCTGAAGGTCAGGGACGCTTTGGGATGCTGGATATCCAGCAGGGAGCAACAGTGACCGAAACAAATGGCATTCTGCCTTTGGCAAGCTTATCTTCATTTGATTTGGCTTGAGCCTTCCTGTACAAGCTTCCTCATGTACCCTCGGCTCTACCTACGGGACTCACCGCGGAGTCTGCTCTCCATCTATATAAAAAGCAGGCAAGGCCCTGCATGATTGACCCTCATCTCTCAACGTTGTTCGTCTCTTGCTCCCTCGGCCTTCCTGACTTCCTTGTTCCTGGGAAACTCCAAACACGGTGTTTCCTTTGGGACGGAATCCTTGCTGTTTCCTACGCTCTGGGCACTGTGGCTCAAAATCTCCTAGCTCCCCACCTGGATCCATTCAAGAGTGCTCTCAAATGCCGTGGAACCCGACGGGCATTCCCTACCAAGTCCAAAAACCAAGCTCCCTGCTGATGCGGACTCGTAGGGACGCTATAGGATAGGGTGGAACGGCCCCTGTGGGTTTCTGAGACTGTAACTCTTCACTGGAATAGAAACCTTCCTCTTTCTTCGGTGGCCTGGCTGGTGGTTTCTAACCGCTGACCTTGCGGTTAGCGGCCCAATGTGTAACCACCAGAGCACCAAGGCTCCTTACTGCCTTGTTGTGGAAAAACTCCAAGCACGAAAACATTCCCTTTGGGCCTTGACTTGCTGTTTGCTCTGCCAGGAGTGTTCTTGCTCAGAATCTTCTCAGAACGCCCCCCCCCCCCCACACACACACACACACACACGCGCTCATCACTTTCATACGTTCTCTCAAGTAACAGCTTATAAAAGAGAGGCTTTCCCTACGGTCCTACTTAAAGTGGTCCCCACACATGCCCCTGGCTCTTGATCATCTTAATCTTACCTTGTGATTTCTTCTTGCCACTTAAGACCACCTGACGTTAAAATTTGTGTTTTACTTGTTGATTTGGTTACTGCCTATCCCCACTGCTAAGAAGATCAGCTCCACGACGGCAGGGATGCTTGCTTTATTCAATGTTGCTACATGTTGACTAATATTAAGCAATGAATGAATGAATGAACCCAAAAGTCTCCCCAATGACCCTGAAATCAAGGCTCTTTGAGTGTGTCATTTTAGTTGGGTGACAGTAGAGCCAACAAAGGGGTCACCCTTTCCCATAGATCTAAGTTGAATGACAACACAGACCACGACATCACCTCTTGGCTCCATATCCCCAGGCTATTGCCAAGGTCTCTGCAGTGGGGAGGATGACGATGGGAAGAATGATCCAGTAGTCACTTAGCAGTCTGAAGAAGTAGTAGCCTGAAGGCTTAGCGAAGAAGAGGTTGCACAGGAACATGAGCCCAGAGACACTCACTGGAGAAAACATCGGTTTGGGAATCAAGGTCAGAGGTTTGGCTGGGTTAAACTGATGTCATTGATCAGGGCTGGGTAAGGATCTGAGAGGGATCAGGGATGTTTCGGGGAGCAGGATGGGAGGGCAGAATACCTATGAGTATCCTTGGATGTTTCTTGAAGAAAGAGGTGTCCTGAAATGGGGTGATTATGACCTGCACCACTGCCACCACGGATGTGAGTCCTAGAGTCAGGATCACCAGGAATAAGAGGATGGACCAGAAGGCTGACCCAGGAATGAATGACATCGTTTCAATGATGGCCAGGTATGCAAAGCTTGAGCCTGCCTTCACCTGTAAAGGGAGAAAGTGCAGAAGAAAACACAGTCTGTCTTTCCTAGAAACCTTCCTGAAAAGCCCCAGGTCATTGAGAAGATCAGATTCCCAAGCCAACACTCTCAGATGGAAAACCAAAGTTCCTAGCATTTCCATGGACAGGCATTTGCAAGCTAGCTCCTTGTACTCCTGGGACCACAGAGCCTCTGGTGCTCAGTTTCCTAGTGTTTCTATCTGCTGACACTTCTGTTGTATACAAGCCACCGAGTAACCCTAGCCCAAACACTTCAGCTACCCACTGACCTTCAATAGCTGATTCTTTGTGTCGCAGTCGGACACCTTGTTGAGTATCAGCTCCTTGACAGAAGGGGGAAGGCTGTTGAGCCAATCGGTGTACATGGTCGCTGCATTATCAATAATGTTTTCCGGGGGGCTGGCCACAGGAGGCAATTCCCCAGAGGATACCAGATGCATGAGTTTTTCAATATTCCTGGTGAAAAGAAGTTGAGTCACATCAACCATCTGGCCTCTTAGGAGACTCACTCCTTTTGCCCTTGTCTGCCAGATGAAAAAGGACGGTCACTAGTGTCCTGTTACATATATAGGTAAGATAGAGTCTAGAGTTATTCATTTATGACCATAGAGGGCTTCTATTGTCTTCTGGGTCACTCTGTTCTGGTAATAGGATCGTTTAGTCACCATTGACCTTTCTCCTACCCCCCTCCCTTCTTAAACTCCTGAATTCAAGTCAACTTTTTAAGCATCACAGTACAGAACAACAGAGAGCATGATTAACATAACACTATCGCGTCTACAGTGCTCCACTGGAATTGTGCTATGTGAGAGAAACTGCTACTTAGCCTTTTGGATCTGAGCCCTGCTGACCTCTTCAGCCTCATCTTCACCCCATGAAATCTTTATATTCCACACTCTGGCCCTAGGCTCTTGTTACGTGGTGTCAAGTTGGTTCCAACTCACAGCGGCCCTAAATATAAGAGGAAATACCAGCTCACAATTGTTCGTCTGTGTGAGCCCATGACTGCAGCCACTGTGTCAACCCACCTTGTTGAGTGTCTTCCTCTTTTTTGAGACTTTACTAAGCATGATGTCCTCTCCCAAGGATTGGTCTCAACAGATATGTCCAAAGTATGTGAGATGAAGTCTGCCCATCCTTGCTCCTAAGGAGCACTCTGGCCTTCCTTCTTCCAGAGGGATGTGTTTGTCCTTTTGGCAGTCCACGATACTTTCATTATTCTTCACCAGCACCATCATCTAAATGCATCCATTCTTCGTCGGTCTTCCTTACTCCATGTCCAACTTTCACATGCAAGTGAGGTGATTGAAAATACCACAGCTTAGGTGAACAGCAGCTTAGCCCTCAAAGTAACATCCTTGCTTTTCAACACTTTAAAGAGGTCTTGTGCAGACAGGCGGTGGGTGGCCATCGGTACTTAAAGAGTCAATACTTTTCCCAATCCACATCCGCCATTCTTCACTTGATGAATCTAAGTCCTGAAAATCCAGCACATCATGCCATTATGATTGAACTGGAGCACTTGCCAAGATTTCTTGATAAAAACAAAATGTAAATGGCAGGAAAAGAAATGCAGTGTGATCACACCCTAGACTATATATTACATGCTTTTCTGGCAATCAGCGAGGTAGCGATGAACCTATCTCTTAAAATAATTACAAGCTTGTGCTTGACACATGGATGGATGGATTGTAATAAGAGTTGTATGAGCCCCCAATAAAATGATTTAAAAATAATAACAATTACAAATCTAGAAAATACATTTTAATCCTCGAAAGAGAAAAAAATAAACCTACTGACAAAACAAGGTGTTATCCTGAAAAAGGAAAGCACAGATGCGAACTGTGAAAAAGAGCCTTCCAAAGTCTCAATGCCTGAAGAGTACCTACTGAACAGAGCAACAGTTACCTACAATTTCTGATTCCAGGACTTTTCAGATGTACAAGGAGGGCTTGATGTCCAGACGGGAAACATCAGAACTTGGCCAAGGGATACAAAAGGGAGGTTTACCGCCCCGCCCCTTAAGTCTGTCATTTCCAAGAACTATGCCTGTACTATAAAAATAAACCAGAAACTTGCACCCCATCTAGCCACACAGAACGGAAAGGGAGACTAGACTATGAGACACTTCCAGTTGGAGATTGGAATACTATGGATAAGTAAACAAGTGCGGTAGTTGGACGAATTTATATCAATCAGACCCTCAGGGCTAGTGTTGAAGTTAAAGCTGCCAATCAAGTGGTAGCTTGACAGCCTGTCCTTGGGTGACCTTTTGTGTAAGAGTGAGGGACTATAGGAAGTGCTCTCTCTCTCTCTCTCTCTCTGCCCTTCCACTTTCCTGGCTGCTAAAACGTCGCCTGCCTTGAAGAGTGGTGCCATGTGGGCCCCACCCCCAATCCTGAAAGCTGCTGACACCCTGCCCTATTTCCACTGACCTTGGAATCCATGTGACTGCACCCACTGACCTGTGATCTCCCTGCTTCCTGCTTCACCTTTTGGCATCAGCTACATGAAGGACCTAAGGGCTAGCACCAGACTTATGCACTTGAGTTGGACTGAGCTGGGATGCCTTCGTGATGTAAGCTTGCTTCTTAACAGAAAGGTCTTTCTTGTACATAGATTAGTGTTAGTCAGAGTGCTTCACGAACACGGCAAAGTGTACCTATGGTTTGTATGTTAGTCTAGGTAGACTAGAGAAACAAATCCATAGCAACTCAAATCCAAACAAACTCATAGAAACTATAAGAGAAAGTTTTATGTAAAGGGTAACTGTACATTAAGAAAGCATTCCAACCCAGTCCAGTCCAAGCCCATAAATCCGCTATTAGCCCCTATGTCTGATACCAACCAGTAAAGTCCTCTTCAGACTCACAAAACACATGCAATGATGCTGAATGCAGGACAATCACAGGCCAGTGGGTAGAAAGTCTTTGGATCCAGTGGCATTGTAAGCATCTCAGCGCTGGCAGGGGTCTCCACATGGCTTCTCTAGTTCCCAGGGCGCGGGGTCTATCAGTGTAATGTCATGTGCCTTGTCGGTGGAGAGTCTCCAAGGGAGTAAGCTGAGAGAGAGAGGTGTCTCCCACCTCCAAGGAGGTTAAAAAACAAACAAACAGATGTCCCAGAATTCTCATGAAAAAGCCATGCCCACACGGAGGTCTCATTGGTTATGACTGGATTGACAGACTGACAGACTAGACTCCACCCCTTCACTCTTAATCCTCTCAAATTCCAAATGGACACCAGATTATATAACTACTACAATGAGTGTCACTGGATTTGTTTCTCTAGACAATCCAGCCAAACACAACAAGAAGTAAGAAAGTATTCTTACTTGAACCACAATATCAACCAACATGACCTGATTGACATATATAGGCCACACCTTCCAACAACAGCATAATACACAGTATTTCTAAAAATACATGAGTTGTTCTCTTTGATAGACCATATGAAGAGTCAGAGAACAAGACTCAAAGAAAAATTACAATCATAGGCTATATTGTTCTTTAAACAAAAGGTAATTTAATTTTAGGCCATTACAACCAATTAGCTGGTAGAAACAAAAATATCTGAAAATCTAGAAGTATTTCAAATAACCAGGGGTCAAAGAAGCAATCACAAGGAAAATGGGATGCTATTTTGAATTGAAAGAAAACACTGTACGTAGTGCTGAGAACCTTGATATTCAAATGCAAAGTGATGAGTTGGACCCTTGTACTGTCTTTTTCCCCCACAACCTCTCCCCTGCCATCACCCTGAGATATTATAAATCAAGTTATTGTTTCTACAGATTTACCTATCCTGGATTTCCTATAAAGAAAAACACACACACACATAAAAAAAAGAAAAACACACCAATCTCCAACAAAACCCCAACCACAATAACAAAATAAAACCAAGGAAACCCTCACTCGAAAAGAAAGCAGAAAAGAGGAAAAATGCCACCACAAATTTAACATGGGTCAAAAAGGAGAACACATGATAAGGTGTTAAATTTTAACCCGACAACATCTGCATTGATCCACTTTCCACTGTACTCTGATAGCAATACTATTCACATTTCTGGTCAAGCGCCATAGGGTTGCTTTTTAAAAAATCATTTTATTGGGGGCTCATAACATTCCATAAATCAATTCTATCAAGGATATTTGTACCTATGTTGCCATCATCACTTTCTAAACCTTTACTTTCTATTTGAGCCCTTGGTATCAGCTACCTTTCCTGATTTTAGACCATGGACTACTCCCTTGTTCCCATGAACAGGTTCCGCAGGAACACAATTAAGTTCTGCAATTCTCATTCTTCTCAAGGCTATCCATAATTTCTTATGACCCCCCAAACAAGTGCACATCTTTCTTGTGTTCTCTTTCAGCCAAGATCCATCTGACATCAGTAACGATATCCTTTGTTCCATGGCTCCTTCAGAATCTAGCCTGTGCCTCGGGCAGCTCCCTCCCTGTCAATGCACTACTATTGTTGGATGATCTTCAGCAACATTTTACTTGCATGTGCTATCAATGAAATTGTTTTATAATTTGTGGGTTCTGTTGGGCCACCTTTCTTTGGAATGGGTACAAATGTGGATTTAGCTTAGCTGAATGAGTGCTTCCAGTGCTTCTACAGCACTGAAACATTTCCATTGGTATTTCAACAATTCCTGGAGACCTTTTTTGGCTAATGCTCTCAGTGTAGCTTGGACTTCATCCTTCAATACCACTGTTTGTTGGTCATGTGCTACCTCTTGAAATGGTTGGATGTCAACTAGTTCTTGTTGGTAAAGTGAACCTGTGTATGCTTTCCTTCTTCTTTTGATGCTTCTTGCATTTTTTCAATCTTTTGCCCAGAAAAAAGTCAATATTATAAATCAAGGCTTGACTTATATCTCCAGTTCTCTTACTTTAAGATATTCTGAGCAATTTTTCTTTTTGACGTTCTAACTCTAGGTCTTTGCCCATTTCACTGGAATACTTTATCTTCTCAAGGTGCCATTGGAAACTTTCTTTGACTTCATCGCTTCTCTCATTTGCCTTAGCTCCTCTACAATTAAGAGCAAGTTTTAGAGTCTCTTCTGACACCCACTTTGATCTTTTCTTTCTCTCTTGTCTTCAATGACCTTTATCTTTCATCATGTATGAAGTTCTTGTACTCATCGTTATTAGTTCCCCATTTCTCTATAGATTTACCTGTCCTGATTTTCACATATAGAAAACATATATTTTAAAACCCTAGCAACAACAAAAAACCCTAGCAACAATAACAAAGTAAAACAGATTTTTTAAATCTCAATAAAAATATTAAAAACAAATTAAAATGGATCAAAAGGGAGAGAGATCAAATGATATTAAGTTTTAACCTAACTGCATCTGCAATAATCCACTTTCCAATACGTGCTGCATGATAGCAAGGCTACTCACTTCCCTGCTCAGAGGGAATTCATAGGAGTCTTAATCCACAAGTATTTTCCCTTCACTTAAAAAAAACACCCCAAAAAACTGATTTCAAAAGGAAAATTAAATATTACAGTTTAAATGATGTCTCCTAATCGACTTTTAAATGCTCTCTGTTGGATAACAAAGCTATTCACATTCTCCAACTATGGTCAGAGGGGATTCACCGGAGGCTTAATCCATGTGTGGACCCTGCCCATGGATTTTGGGCTTCCTGTGATCCATAGCCTCCTGCAAACCAAGTGCTCACAATTTAAGCTGATACATTCCCTCCTTCAGATCTCGATTGTATGTTTTACAATCCTTGGATCACATAGGCTGGTGTGCTTCTTCCATGTGGATTTAGTTGACCCCTCATCTGGATGGCTGCTTGTTGGAAGACAGCCTTTAAAACGCCAGATACGATTCCTTCTAACAGCCAGCACCATCTAGTTTCTTCACCACACTTTGCACCAAGATAGCACCAATATCTTCAGTGATCTCTTCATGAAGGTAAGCATCAAGTCAGGCCATGGCATAAAAACATTGCTCTTAGATGGGGGCTAGAATTAAGGACAAGCCCCAAATACATTCATATGCCTATGGTTTATATAAGCCTCTGGTTCACTTTAGAGATATCACGGTCATGTTATGTTAGAGACCATTATCAATGATTCCCCTGGGGCATCCCTTCCACTGCCAATGAGTTAATGCTAACTCATAACCACCCTGAAGGACAGGGTAGAACTGTCCTTGTGGGCTTCCGAGACTGGGATCTTTCTAAGAGAAGAAGGGCCCAGGCAAAATAAATGACTCTGTCCCTTGTCATGTCCCATCAGTCCTTCAACAGTTATAAACTTTCACTGCCTGGTTCATTGTCTAATTCCGTTCTTCTGCTCTCTTTCAAAGCTGAAGATTCAATGAAGGCAAGGACTGTGGTCTTATCCCTCTGGTCCAATTCTCTGCCATAGATAAAGTCTATGATGAATTCTTTTGAGATGAATGCCTAAATAGTGTAAATAGGAATAAGTATATTTATATGTCCAGGCTCTAGCAATAGGGTCTTACTGGGGTTCAGTATGCGATAGTGACAGAAATATTTACATTGAGGAGTCAATAGCTAAGAATAGAGCATTCAGCTTTCTGCCACACAACTCGGTCGAGAGCCTGCCTAGTGCCCATGAAAAGTGCATCACTCCCTCTATGTGTACATCTTAAAAACCATTTTCCCAGAGGAGACCTCACTTCGGCTGGGGCCTACTTTTCAAGAGCAGGGGAAGAGGGTGAGGCTGTTTATTTGCTGCTATACAAAATTGTACTAAGGTCATCCCGAATTAACAAACACTCCTATGAGAGTGATAATTGAACATTACTGAAAATTCAAGTTAAGATGGGGGTGGGGGAGGAGCCTGCATGTCTTAGAGAAGGAAAACACATTTCTATGGGTAGCAGAATGGGGAAGACCAACCTCCCATCTGGAAAAACAAAACAAAACACCGAAAACGCTTAACAATACTTATACAGAATCCAAGGGGAGAATATGCCTGGTATTATGTCCCCAACTAAGACACTTTTGACCTGGTTTCTCTGCAGTTCCTGGTGTCCCAGATCATGAGCTATAGACCATTGGGACTTTAGACTCTGTTTTAACAAAGCACACAAAAGCCTTCTTGGCCACACCCAAAGGATTCGATGTGGAAACCCCACTAAGTGAACTGAGCTCTACCTCAAACTCACCTGTAACCCTTGGACTTAAGGCTGAAACCTCACAGTGTGAGAAGCACAAAGTTGCTACATCAAGGGTATAGAACTGGCAGTCATAAGACTTTGGCTCGACTCTTTTGCCTTGCTGGTGCCCAATGAATGGTGACCCAGGACTACTATATACTTACTATTTTAATGTGCTCCTTGATTTAAGATCTGTATTCATCTGGTAGGCCTAGTTCTACCACTGCCAATGACTCTCCTGGACTGTTTTGCTTTATTGCCAACCCTCCTTGTTGGTGTACATAGTATTCAGTCATTTAAGAGTTTAATCTGTACAAGTCAGTGACTCATATCTTATGGTTCATAGCCAGCATATACTTGTATACTTCTCTTTTCTCAACTGTGTTTTAAATTCTTTCTATACCATTGGCAAAATTAATGACAAGATCAATTGATTGATCTTATGCCCCAGGGAGATGATTAATAATGTTCTCTAACATCAAATGACAAGAATGTCTGTAAGGCGAACCAGAGACATATAACAACCATAGACCTAGGAATAGATTTTGAGCTCAGATTAGTTCTTATGGCATGGCCTTGCTTGATACCCGCCTTCATGAGGAGATCAATAAAGAGTCGGGTACTAGACCAAAGCGTGATGAAGAAACTAGAGGGCGCCTACCTGTCAGAAAGAATAGTGTCTGGGGTCTTAAAAGCTTGTCTTTCAACAAACAGCCATCTAAATGAGGTGTCAACTAAGTCCACGTGGAGGAAGCACACCTGACTGTATGATCCAAGGATTGTAAATAATAAAATCCAAATCCAACGAGGGAATGCTATCAGAGCTTGAATTGTGAACACCTGGTTTGCAGAAGGTTATGGATGACAGTGGAAGCCCAAATACATTTGCAGGGCCTACACAAGAATTAAGCCCCCAGTGAATCCCCTCTGACCTTGGTTGAGAGATGTGACTAGCCTTGTTATCAGACAAAGAGTTTTGTACAGATGATTATAGTAGACAGTTAGATATAAATGTAACAACTTATTTGATCCCCCTTTTGACCCATTTAAAAATTGCATCAGTTTAAAAAAAACGAAGGGGAAATATTTGTGGATTAAGACTCCAGTGACTTCCCTGACAATAGACCAGGGATGTGAATATCCTTGTTATCATGCAGAATGTATTGGAAAATTAATTACTGCTGATGTCAGTAGGTTAAAATTTAACACCTTATCATTTGATCTCCCTTTTGATGCATTATTTTAATTTCTTCGAGGTTTTTTTCTAGTTTTTAATATTTTCTACTTTCTCTTTGAGATTTTTTATCTGTTTTACTTTGTGTTGTTAGTTTTTGTTTTTTAAAAAAATGTTTTCCTGTATGTGAAAACCAGGACAGGTATATCCCTAGAGATAGTAACTGAATTAATGGTTCCTTGGGGCTCTGGCAGGGGAGGTTGAGAGGAAATAGGGAGTTAATAATAAGGAGTCCAAGAAAGAAGAAAGTGTCCTAATATTGATTGTGGGAATGATTGTACAACTCTTCTTGATATGATTGAACTATTGAATTGTATGATATGTGGATGCTGTCCCAGTAAAACTGTTGTAAAAAAAAAAACAGAAGGGAGGAATTCTCACTACCAGTACATGTGTCCTTTGGCTCTTGAGATCCCTGTTCCCGGAACCTCCTCATCCAGAGACAGAAGTGACATCACAGGGGTGGCAGAGGGACGGCAGAAGATCCAGGAGAGAAACAGCATGCGACAAAGCCGTGGACTTCCCAGCCCACAGAGCAAGTAAAGCTGAGTGCTTTGGGACAGGAGGCTGGCTTGGCAGTGGGGGAGCTGAGTTTACTAGTCCACAGAGCTGGCGCCGACTGCCTTGGGGTGGAGGCTTAGAGTAGAGTGGCATGAGCTTTGGGCATTTATTAGCGACCCCGAAAGAGTGTTGTAATCCTGCCAAGCAGGGCAGAGGCCAGACCCAGAGGCTGAGGGCTGGCTAGTGAGAGGTCGGCTTGCAGCCACGGCAGGGAAAAAAAACTGTCCGATGTAAACCACCACATACTGAGTATTTCTTACCTGAATTGTCTCCTGTTAACCTCCTTAATAGACCCTGTCCTCTGACTATTGGCGGGGAGGGGAGGGAGAACCAGGCATTTGGATCGTGAGGGCCTTGACAAGTTTTCCCTCTGAGTGTACTAACAAACTCGTTCTCTGAGGCATGGGTAACCCTGTTTTTTTCATGTGGGCGGTGATTTCCTGAAGCGCTACTGGTTTCCTGGAGAGAAGAGTTGCTTTAGGGAGGGTTCCCCAATTAAGGGACCGGCCTTACTTCTCACTGCAGTTGCTTCTGGAGACTATGATCCAAAAGTTGGTGACAGAAAAGATGATTGGTGTGACAATCACCAAGGTGCCAAGGTTGATCAGAGGGATGAGAAAGGCGTCAAGGAGACAGTTGTTGGACGGGGTCATGAATGAAGAGAAGGAGGCAATGAATCCAAGGCCTATGCCCAAGGAATTTAAAACCTGTCTCGCCGCTAAGAAGCAAATATTCTTATATTGTGCAGATGGTACCTAAAAGAGAAAAGTTTAAGGGAGGATATAAATGACGGAAGAGAAAAACCATAGTTGATAATGGTGGTGGAGTTTGGGGGGGGGGGGCTTGGAAATGAGGCCCTAAGAATAAAGCAGTTATTCTCCCCCTGTCCCCTGCCCCCACCCTTCCCCCCAATGGCTGCGGATCAGGAATCTCTCACTCACCTTGAAAATCAGCAAATGTGAAAGGAGAAATGATAAACCTTCCATCAGTGGAAACCGGATGAACAAGCCCAAGAAGATGAGATAAGGAATCAGTGTCAGGACATACAGCGCCTGAATTGAGAGTGGACATATCGCTAACCATATGACATGAGGGGCCAAGAGTTAGCAGGAATCAAAAGTTTGGATTCAGAAAGAGGAAATAAAAGATAGTGTTCAGCAGGGGCTAGTGGGCAGCAAGGGCCAGGGGGGCGTGAAACATTGACAAAATCAACAGGTAAGAGAGTCAGGTGACAGACAACATATCTGAGAATACCAAGGAGGGCAAAAATGAAGGCTCACCCTCCCAATGGATTTGAGTCCATTGATCATGATGGCCCCGGTAAGACACCAGATCACAAGGAGGGACAGGCTCATATTAGGCAACACAGGATCATCCATTTTAATTACATTGGGAACCTTCATTATGGTCCGGTACCAGAAGTACATGGAGGGTGTTGTCCGTGCGCACTCAGCATCTGTGGGGACCTGGTCATGATCACAACTGCTAGACAAGGGGATCCCTCCCTCCCGTCTTCTTGAGTCCCTTCACTCCCTCCCTCCCTCCTCTTTCCACCTCCCATTTCTTCTTCCTCCTACTAGCTCCCTCTTCCTTGTCCCTCCAGCCTCCCTCCCCTTCCTCCCAATTCCCTTCCACCTCCTATTTCCCTCCTCACCAAAGTCGCTGGAGTTCTTCACTAAGGGACATTTCTCCCACGGGAGAGGAAACTGGAAGGACTGGCTCAAATAGAGGAGACTCCAGCAGTTGGTTATATTGATCAAGGTGCTCTGGATGATGCACACCTAGGGGTCAAGAGGAGGCTGCCTGGGAAGAATAAGGTGGGGGGAGGGGGGACAAGGAGGGGATGTGACCAAGAATTAGGCAACAGAAACAATGGACCCATGGGAGAGGATTCGTCTGACTCATTCCAGGAGAAGTGATTAGGAGGGGGGTTGGGTATAACTGGGCAGTCTGGGCGGCTCAGAGCTCCTCACCAGGAAGCTGGTATAACCCAAACCAGTCATCCAGGGGCTGGCGAGCTTCCATACACCGAGGCTGCCCTGACGCTGCTTCTGGCCAGATGCCATTTCCATGAGGAGGAGAGGGACTCCGATGAAGAACAGCAGGAAGATGTAGATGATGACATAAACGCCTGTGTCGGAGCATCAAGGAGGGGCTCTGAGAATCTTTGGGCCTCAGGAGTCCCAGGAAACCATGTTCCCTCACGGTGACTCCCTCTCAGGGCCACAGACAGCCAAGCTCACCTGCATCTCTCACAGTGCGTGGTGCCCAGGCCCCTGGCCTCTAATTTCTGGGAGACACCAACCCCTGGGTCCCACCCCCTCCGAAACCTACGTTCCAAAGAGCGTGCACCTCCCTGCTCCCATGATCTCGGGGGGCTGAAGCACCTGGCTCCTATTTTGCCCAAAGTACAAAATATCTAGTTCATCACGCTCCAGACTTCCGAGTGTGGAATCGGACACGTCTCCAGCCTGCCTATCCCCTCTTGGACCCAGGAGTCCTGGCCCCCAAATATTAATACCTCCATTGAGAAGCCACAGCCAGGGAAAGCTCCAAAGGTTGGCTGCCCTCAGAGAGTAGCCCACCTGGGCCAGAATGTACTCAGTCTTGCTGGACCACTGGGGAGCGGGAAGCTCCTCAGGCTGCGGCTGAGTCACAGCGACATCTCCAGGCGAGGTTTCACACGACATGACGGGTACCATCTGTGCCTCCGGCACAGAGTTTTCCTGGACTCGGCTACCCTGGCTTGGGGTCCCCAAAGCCTGAGCCTCCCAGGCCTGAAATGTTGCATCCAGGTTCTTTAACACCAAGGATGATTCCCGCGAGGCCCCTGGATCCTTCAGTTCCCAGGCTTGGATTTCGGAGACACTCTTGGCAGATGGTTTCTTCCTGAACGGGATGTTTTCCAGGGAGGATGTGGACTCTCCGTTCATCCAAGGCAGCCTGGCTTGAGAAGGTCCAGCTTCTTGGAGGGAGCTGTCGTCTTTCAGGACAGACCTCAAGGACACCCCAAAATGGTATATTTTAGATGACAGAGGCAAGGGCAGCCCAAGGCCCAAAATAATCCCAAGCCCCTCCCTTAAAGAACTTTCCACTGCCTCTCCGACCACCCCCTGAAACGCTCGCACGCCCAGAACAATCTCTTGGCAAAAGTTGTACTGTTTAGAAGTACTTTCCTTCAACGGAAAGGGTTGAATTCGGTTCACGCTTGCATGAGCTTCCGGGTTGATTGAGCTTAAAGCTTCCATTCAAAGCACAGGGTTTCATCAAAGGATGAAGGGAATCGGCAAAACCGACTCATTTACATCCGGACTCCTACTCAACTGAGATCCCTGAGGAATCCTCCCGAGTGAAGCCAGGGCTCTAGCTGGTGGGCCTTTGAACCAAAGGCCCTCGTTTAATCCAGCATCTGTCTCGTAACCTGGAGGAAGCCGTTTTAGCTCTCTGCGCTTTGGTGTCTCAGCTGCACAACCATCGGGTCCCTCTGCTCAAGTGTCGCACCCTCAGCAGCCTCGCCTTGCCCATGTTGCCTCTGTGGCAGCTACGTGTGTCACTCTTTGCAGCCAACTCCCTTTTGGCTTCAGAGCATCTCACTCGGTGGCATTAACATCTAGTGACTTTTCAGCTACTCTTTGTCTAGTTCTCCTCCCACTGCGCTCGACTCGGCAAGTGGGCTGCCCTCTACCTCATAGCAGAACCTCTCTCTCCGGTCGTCTTCCGGTGTTACCACCACACCCAGGCCTGTGCCGGAGCCTCGATTCTCTCCCGGAAGATGTGCAAGAAGCGGCGGGCTGGAAAAGAGGAGAAAAGGCAATCTGGGAAGGAAAGGTGTGAAGAGATATACAACTAGAGTTGTTTGTTTGGTTTTCCTTCTAAAGGGGAAGGGCCAGGCTATACAAAGTAGAGGGAGTGGAGACCCAAAGCCCATCTGTAGACAATCGGACATCCCCTCACAGAAGGGTCACAAGGAAGAGACGAGCCAGTCAGGGTGCAGTATAGCACTGAGGAAACAGACAACTTTCCTCTAGTTCTTTAATGTCCTGCACCCCCACTATCATGACCCCAATTCTACCTTACAAAACTGATTTTTGATTTCTTTATGTG